ATATAACTTCAATACCTCCATTTTCTAAAATAATCGGTTGATTATTCGTACATAGTGTTGTAATTTCAGTAATTGTTTGATCTTGAGGTTGAATAGATACACAATTTGGATGTAGGCGAACCGATATATGAATTAATTCATTTAGATTTATTATAGATTTATTCGTACGATGATCTTTATTTTGAACAATCAACTCAGGTTCATTATTACAAATTACATTATCTAAAACATGTATTTGAATACTAATAAGTGTACGTGATAATATTCGATTTTGAAATCGATCCATTAACCAAAACTGACCAAATTGTTTACCAGATTGATCAATTTTATATTTTAATTTACAATCATTATCAACATATACAGTTAAAAAACCACTTGTATCTTCTTGATAAGGTGCGCATAAAATTTCGTCTCCTAATAAAAAACATTCAAGATTTAGTGTAGTAAAAATATGATAGTACCATCAATATCAAAAGCAAAGATTTTAATTGTATTTGATTTATTAAATGCAACATAATACGAAGCAGGAATATATGGATAAGGTGATGAATTTATTCGAGTTAAATCAGTTTCAATAGATAAATTAAAATAAAAGTTTTTGAACGATGAATTTGGCCAACAGCATGCAGACTACGAGATAGAAGATTTCATAATTCTAATTTATTTTCAAATTGATACATACATAATGAAGATTTAAAGGTTTGAATCTTTCAACAATTAGTAAAAACTGTCGTTTTAATATTGAATAACCATTCTTTTCATTTGCACCTTCACAATATCCCGATATTTTTTGTGTAAAATTTTGACAAGTACTATTATGTGTTTCACTCAAACATTTTATGTTATAATATTGTTTATCTTTTTTCTTTGCTATAGTCTGATTCCATAAATATTCTTTTGTTTGATTATCATATGGAATATTTTCGCCGATAAGATAAATAATTACATGTTCGTTAATTTGTTCAGATGTACAAAGAAAAAAATGATTTGATATATGAAAACGTATTTCAACTAGAATAGATTTATAGATTTTAGAATCAACGATCTGTGATATATGTTTATAAGTAAATGAACCACCAAGAAAATGTAAAGATTTTGTTAATGAAAAACTGTAAAGAAAAATTATGAAAGAAAATTTACATTTTATTATGAACATTTTAGAAAGAAACGAAAAAAAAGAAAGATCTGAAACGCGCATTATTTATTAATTGTATATAGAAGGTATTGCATTACTTTGTATTATTTTTCTCATACTAGCTGAATACAAAAATAAAATAATGGAAAATTTATTTCAATTATTCAAACTTACGATCCACAAACAACATGTCATAAAACACAATCGATAAAAAACTATATTGAAATTAGATTTCTGCTATATAAATACATACAAAAACAACAGAAGGCACCTGTATTGGGTATTTTAAGGATTTTGATAGGTATATTGTGCTTGTTTTTGGACTGATCAATCGTATTCAAAATAAGATTGGCCATGACACAAGCTTCGCATCAATGAATTTGGTTGCTTTTATTTGTTTCTTGCTCTTCACAATATTATTTTCAAAATTAACCAGGTGAAGTTTGTCGTTGAGTGACAAAAAAACACACACACACACACGTTCGAAGCCACTATCTACAGAAAGAAGAACGGTCATCTCTCTTTTCATTAAAACAGCAGCATTAAAATGAGCGGATCAGAATCAAATATTCGTCAATCGCGACAACGTATGGCTCAAAACTACCTTCTCGTTTGGGTAGATGCCAGCATTGACGAAGCTGACAAAGACTGCCAAGATATATTGGCGCAACTGAAGAACGTGGTCAACGATGTTAACTTATGTACTGCACCGGATCAATGTATTCAAATACTCAACCAGGTTGATAATAAAAGAGTCTTTGTCATAACATCAGACTCTTTAGGTCAATATTTGGTTTCTGAAATACATGATATGTCACAGTTAGATGCAATTTATATCTTCTGTGACAACATATCCACACAACAAGAGTGGTCACAAAACTGGACAAAGATCAAAGGTGTTCATACAAGCATTAAAGAAATTTGTCAAGCATTGCAATTGTCTGTTAAACAATGCGATCAGGACTCAATTGCAATAAGTTTTCTTCCGATAGATGAAATAGCTTCAATTGACAATTTAAATCAGTTGGAGCCAACTTTCATGTATACCCAGCTATTGAAGGAAATTCTCCTCGATATCCAAAATAGTCCTAAGGCAATGCAGAATTTAGTAGCTTGTTGTCGCGAAGTTTTTACTGGCAATCCAATTGAATTACAAGTCATTAATGAATTCGAACAGAATTATCTTCCCGCACGAGCAATATGGTGGTATATACGTGGGTGTTTTACCTATAAAATGCTCAATCAAGCACTTCGAACTCGAGATGTCGATATGATCATTAATATGGGCTTCTTTCTACGTGATGTACATCAACAAATTCAACAACTGTACGAACAACAGGTCAGCAATTATGGAGGAAAGTCGTTTGTAGTTTATCGAGGACAAGGTCTTCAGCAATCAGACTTTGAAAAACTTCAGAAAACAAAAGGTGGACTGATGTCATTTGATAATTTCTTATCAACCAGTAAAAATGAACAGGTGTCTCTTGGTTTTGCTCAATGTGCTTCAGCGAAACCGAATATGGTGGGCATTCTATTCATAATGACCATTGATCCTTGTATTAAATCAACACCCTTTGCTTTCATCAAAGAGGAGAGTCACTTTAATGAAGAAGATGAAATTCTCTTCTCATTGCATGCCGTCTTTCAAGTGAGTGCAATTAAACAAATGGATCATGAGAATCAGCTTTATCAAGTTGAATTACAATTAATATCGGATGATGATTATCAACTACGACTACTTACTGATCGAATACGAAAAGAAGCTGATGGTACTGGATGGAAAAGATTTGGTGAATTATTGCTTAAAACTGGTCACTTTAATAAAGCTGAAGAATTTTACAACACCTTACTCGAACAGACATC